GTAGCACTGGCAGCCATGCCAAGAAGTCCTGTGGAGTGCAATATAACCTCTCAGGGGCTGCATACAGCCCATGGACCACCACACTGACAGCCCTATTTGCAATTATCATAATGGTTCTTTCTGCCCTTAGAATTAATGCAGCTAAATAGAAAAGAATCATCATATCCTTTCATAGAATCATAGAGAAGTCTGGCTGGAAGAGACCCCTGAAGGTCTAGCCCAAGCCCCTGCCCAAGGCAGGGTCATTCCTGTCCAAATCATCCCATGCAAGTGCTTGTTTAACCTATTCCTAAAACTATGCAATCAACCTTGTCGCATAGCTACAAGACATATTGCCCAGACATCAAAAGTTGCCCAATCTACCACAGGTAAAGCAGGGAGACAGGGGCAGCCAGTGTGCTGCCACTACAGGGTTGCTAAAATGCACTCAAGTGATCCCAGAGAATCAGGCCTACTGCTAGGGGAAGTCAACCCCCCCCCCCCCCCCCCCCCCACACCCTGCATCCTGGGGTTTATATGGGCCCAGGGCCGACCATGGGGTAAAATTCTTTCCTGATTCCAAATGTGGCAGGTGGTCTGATCCTGAGCAGAGAGGCAAGACCCTCTAACCAGGAGACTCTGCGTTTCAGCCCCAGCTGGTGCATTGGCACATCCCAGTCAAAATCTGACACCTGTAGCAACAGGAGGGTAGAAAATTCCTTCCTGACCCCGTGTGGCAACCAGCAATGCCCAGAAGCTTGGGAAAAACAAACACCCGACATTCTTCCCAACAACTGGGGGACAGTAAGCTTAACTCCACACATACACCCTCTTATTGGACAGCCAAAACTCCACTTTCTGCATCCCCACCACAACTTATCCCAGCTCCTTTAATTTTTTTTCATAACTAAGCTAGTTGCAGAGATCTGCTTCATTCTCCTGCTGCTGAGCATGGTCCTTCCCAATACCCACCTGCATGAGGCTGCAGAGCTCTTCTTGTTTCTCAACTGCTTCCAATTTCTCAAGCATAGGCAGTGGTGTAACTGCTTCCCTATATTATGTCCAGCAAGAAATGCCCCTCACATCCTTTGATTCAAGATGTATGTAGCTAAGCTCCTTTCAGTCTCCCTTATGTGGGCCACTGTTCTGTCTTGTCTTCGCAAATTGTTCTGAACTAATTAAGAGCTTTTCTATGCTACAGATGTATGTAGGCGGACACCTGTGTGTAGGCAGGTCTTACGCTGTGTGATGTAAAGGTATGGTATCGCACAAACGATTATTAACAACCCTATTCTGTCAAGATGTCTTATTGCAGTGGTGCTCAACCTTTTTCCCCCCTGTGGACCAGATGGACAGTACCCGGTCCACCTGCGGGTCAAATCCCACTGGGGATCCTGATCTGGCACCAGAGTAGGTGCAGCAGGCACCAGAGGGGGGCAGGGGACAGCCTGGCCCCACCCAGCTCCACAGGGGAAGGGGGCATAGCCCAGCTCCAACCCAAACCTACAAAGGGGACACAGCTCAGCCCCCACCAGCCGCACTGGGTTTGGGAATTTGGCAGGGGGGAGCATGGCTACTGCTCCCCTGCTGCCAAATTTCCCAACCCCTGCGGGCCAGACAGGAGGGCTCCACGGGCTGCACTCGGCCTGCGCAGACCAGAGAATGAGCACAGCTACCCCTCGCTTAACGTCGCCGTTACCTTCTTGAAAGACTTGACTTTAAACGAAACGACGTTAAGCGAATCCAATTTCGTCGCAATAGTTACCCGCTAGCAGGCGGCAGCCAAACACCACCATAACTGAACACTGCAAGGCTTTAAACAAGTACATTCCCCTAACAGATCAGCGACATAATAATGAAATGTTGTTAACCAGGAGGACGTCCAGTGAGACGTGCCTGTATTACCTCCGACAGTAACGACCAGTGTAAATTACCTGCCTTACTATTTTACAGCTTTTGATTGCTGACTGGCCTAACCAGGCATAACGAAAGTCCAACTATTTCTATTTCTTACATTTCTACCCGGGAGACTTTTATAATCTTTTCTCCAGTGCCTGATGAAGGGGGTCTGTGCCCAAAAAGCTTGCAATTAAAGACATTTTTTTTTGCGTGCAAAAATCTTGCTGGTCGAATAAAAGCGATCATCTCTACTACAACTCCCGATTGTTGTAATCCATAAATTAGTTTTTGAATCTGACACTTTTGCATCCAAAAGTTTGCCATTAAAGACACATTTATTTTTTTGTTGCAAAAATCTTGTGGGTCGAATAAAAGCAATTGGCTCTACTACGAGTCCTGACTGGTCGCCTGTTCCTCTAGACTGGTATGGCTACAAACCCGGGAACCTGACAGCGATTTCTAATGGATTTAAGTATCTGTCATTTTCAAAGGTGAAGTGTCTCCCGCCTTCCCCCCGCCCCTTTCCTTATGGAGACTGCATTAGCCCTAAGTGACAGCTACACTGGATGTTGTCTTGTTCTCAAAGTTAAATGTAATTAAACTTAAATTAACTGTAAAATTAAATGTAAAAAAACCCCATGCCCACCCGTACCTCTGCCTCTCCAGCTCCGCAGCGCTGCCCCGCTCGCCCCGCCCCGCCCCCGCGCATGCGCACACGTCTCGCCCCAGCAGCCGCGCTCCGCCCCCTCCCCCCACCTCCTTTACGGCAGGCGCAAAAAGGCCGTAAAAGGCGCCGTCCGCGGGAGGAGCCTGAGGTAAACGCCGGGTCCCCAAGCCGGGCCGCGACCCCCTGTGGCCGCGGCAGGACGCGCGGCGGGGGGGTTGTGTCTGGCCGGGGGTTGCCACTGCCCCAGGCGGGGTGGGGGTGGTGCCGCGGGGCCTACCCCATCCCACCCCCGCACAGGGGGGGATGCCTTCGCGCTCGGCTCGCCGTTTCCCTCCCCCTGCATCCACATCTTTAGGTTCCCGAATATGTTTCCAGCACTTCCTCTAACCCCCCGGGTCAAATCGTCTCGGGCCGTGATCCCCACTCTCCCCCCGGTGTGTGGGCCTGGATCCGAGAGCAACCCCGCTGCACGGCCCGCGGCTCCCCTTGCCCCAGGGCTGCGAGCTCCCCGCGGCCCTGGACGGGATCGAGAGCGTATCCGGTCCTCACCTGGCCCGGCCCGGCTCGACCCCCCTCCACTGCTCCTTGTGAGCCGGGCGGCAGATTCAAAACCGCACTGGTGGATTACGGCGGTCGGGAGTCGTACTAGAGATGATCTCTTTTATTATTTTTTTTTTTTTTATTGGCCAATATCTTTGCGGGTTGAACTGGTTATCAGATAATTGAATTGTTGATCTTTTATTGCAAGATTTTTGCAAAAAAAATAAATAAATAATTGCAAGTTTTCGGGCACAAACTCTCTTCATCGGGCATCGGAGACAAGACTGTAAAAGTTCTCCTGGGTCCAAATGAAAGTTCGTATTTCATAGGATGTCACAGAGGGGTCAATAGATGGAAAACTCCTCTGGACAGTCGGTTTGTAGCTGGTATGAAGCCTCTCGCCCCCTGCGAGGATCTGTGATGATGCAGATTACCTTGAAACAAAGGCAGGAGCAGGATCTCCGGTTTCAGGTGGTCACAGTTGCTTCCTGCTTGGGAGAATATGAAGACTTCATTTTAAAAAATTGGCTAAAATTCACTATCTTCCATGAGTCGGGTATCCAGGTTGTAGCCATATTGGTGTAGAGGAAAAGGTAATTGTAGTAGAGATGATCTCTTTTATTAGACCAACAAGATTTTTGCAAAAAATATTCTTTAATTGCAAGCTTTCAGGCACAAACCCCCTTCATCGGGCATCGGAGGACAGATTGTAAGAGTTCTCCTGGGTAGAAATGAAAGTTTGTATTTCATGGGATTTGACAGAGGAGTCGAGATGCAAAACTCCTCTGGGCAGTCGGTTCATAGCTGGTATGAAGCCTCTCGCCTCCTGTGAGGATCTGTGATGGTGCGAATTACCTACTTCCTTGCGGAAAGGCCTGGCAGTGGGGCTGGGGGTCATCCAGGTTGGGTCAAGTTGACGCCCACGCTTATCTTAGTTTCTCTGCTTGTCTCCTAACACCCTTGAAAAGAGCTGGCACCTGGTTGAGAAACGCTGTATTAGGAACAGCAGTAGCAACATAGTAAATGTGTTGATGACTTAGACAATCAGGACTCATAGTAGCAATGATATCTTTTATTAAGCCAACAAGATTTTTGCAAATGACTTAGAAACATTTGATTGATGACTTGGAAACATTTTGATGTTTGCATTACCCTGTCACTAGAGATAACAGCTGTCCTGCTCTTTCTCATTGCCCGAGTGCAGCCGTGCTTCAGATCGGTCAACTTGCTAGTAAAACTAGAAGAGGTGGAAACTTATCAGGGACTTAAAATGAAAGCTTTGAATTCCTGACCAAATAATTTAGAATCTTCCTTCTTTCCCATCATTATACAAGTTGAGTGTCTCCAACAGGGCTGGCCCACAACTTTTTTGGGCCCCCTACAAGATAAAGTTTTGGGGCCCCCGATCTGTTGAAAAATCAAAATTGAGGTTAATAACGGTATAAACTCAATGAAATAAAATGGGAGCCAGGCCTCATGCACGTGGGCACAGGCTGCAGGGGGCACGGGGAGCGGGCAGCATGTTCTGGGGATGCCTGAGTTCCATCCCTGGGCCAGAGTGGGAGCAGAGCCGGGAGCTCCTCCCCTGCTCAGCCAGGAAGGGGCTCCCTGCCTCCATTGAGCCCTTTAAACATCGGGTTGGGGGCAAGCAGGGCATAGCCCCTTGGCTTCAGGGCCCCCTGCGGCCGCAGGTTCCACAGGATAGGACGGGCTGGCCCTGGTCTCCAAATAATGCTTTAAGTAAAGTTTAACTTGTCATGTGTAAATTCTCTTTCATTTCTTCAGAGAGAGAACTGAATACCTAGTTTCCTTGTACTGTTTTTAAATATGCTTATTCTTGTGTGCGTGTGTGAGAAGCAAGATGGGAGAAACAGGCCTTGCAATTGAAGCTGGAGGTGAAGAGCTTTGTAATGCTTGCTGGGTTCTGATGCAAATCAGTGGTGTATGTTTCTAGCTCCAATGGAAATTAGACTACGGACAGTAGGATATTTGCCAAGACGAGTATCAAGGAGTGAAAACTCTTGTCACTAGTCACTAGAATTCACGTTTTGTATGTCCATTAGTAACTGAACTGAGATGATGCCCTCAGACTCCAAAGTCCTTTTTCTCTTCCTAAAGCCTGAACATTTTAAGGAAATGTTTACATTCAGTACTCATCTAGACTGACAAATGTCAGACTGCTAATGATGGTTCATTTCCTAGCTTTCAAGATCAGACTGAGTATATTTTTCCACTTTAAATATGCCATTGGTCAACTGGTTAAACTAAGATTAACACAAAATTCCTCATTTTCCAGAAAATCAGGATCTTATGGCACTTCGCAACAGCTATCGTCTGCCAAATAAAAACTCTGAGGCTAACCAATCCATGAGTGGGCATCGGTCCTTAAAGAAGCGATGTGGAGAGTCACATTCAGAATCTCCTGTAAGCTGTGGTCGCGTTCCTGCTGCAGGATGTGTACTAAGCAAATTAATTCAGTTGCCTACACCTCCATTGTCAAAGCACCAGCTCAAGCGATTAGAAGAACACAAATATCAGAGTTCTGGACGGTCCCTGCTTGAGCCACTAATGCAAGGTTATTGGGAATGGCTAGTTGGAAGAGTTCCAGCCTGGATTGCCCCAAATTTGATCACCATCGTTGGACTGTTAATAAACATATGTACAACTCTAATATTAGTGTATTATTGCCCAACAGCTACGGAGCAGGTAAGAGAGAACTTTCTAACAATCGTATTTATCGTAGGGATATAAATATTGCTTTAAAAATTACTTTTAACCTCCTCTAATTAATTATATTACTTAAACAATTACACAGTCCTATGGCAGAGGGGCAGGGTGACCTGGAGAGTCAGGGCCATGGCTGATATGTGGGATTGTGGTATGGCAGTCCCAGTAGGTGAGAGCCCCTGTGGGTGCTGTGGGGGTTTGTGCAGTCCGCCCCTGTGGCCCCCAGTGGCACCCCCGCCACTGTGTTAGCTCCTATTTAAGCCCTGCAAGCCCCATTGTGCACTTTTGCCTGGCTCTCCTCCCCCAGGTAAGCACTAGTTACCTCACTGCTGCAGCAGCATCATGCTACAGCCCACACTGCCTCCTGGGCAGCCCCTGCTGGAGCGACTCCCCTGACAGAGAACAGTGCTGAGCTGTGGGGTAAATGTTAAACATTAAACGGTATAAATATAATTACCGTTTAACCTTTTATCCCTAATTTATCATGAGTGAGCAGCAAGGACCTGACTGGTTTGAATTTTTGTATTTGAGGAAGGAATACTCTCGCTCTGGCTGACCAATACTCCTGATTTTGTACTGTTCTGAAAACAAAAATGCTGTGTGTGACACTTTAAATCCACTTGTTCCTGTTTATAAGAAGAATATGAGTGGATTTCTGGGTTGGAGGCCCACTGAATAAAATAGTTGGGTCGTTCTGTCCTGTGACAAACTTCGAGTCAAGGCTGCTTGGCAGCAGGAGAGAAGAGTTGGAAAAGGACAGGAAGGTAGTTTAATTTGCTTTTGCATCCCCTGTGTAGAGGCCACTGTAGGTGTAGTGAGGAGTGAATTGTTTTCGCAAAAAAAATTCAGGGCTTGCATGGAATTCTTCGGAAAGAGAAGCTAGAACAATTTTTTTTTCTTAAGTTTCTGTCTGGTCTAGTGTTTCCTGTTGTGTTGTAGTTTGAGTTGATTGGTAGCTAAGTTGCTTATGAACTCCAGTTGAGTTCCAGCATAACAAAAAACCTAGATTAGATGCCTGATTGTATAAGATCTGGCAGCTGATGAGAACTGGGCAGTTTTTCATATTTTCTGTGTAATTAAACCAAGCTTATTAAAAGGAACACAAAGCCCTTTTCTCTTACTCTGGGCTGTCATCAGATCACTATTTGTATCACTGTAGACCCTGAAAGCCTGAGACCTGGACCAGGGCCCCATAATGTCATGTTTGTACAGCACATAGAATCAATAGTGTCCTCAAAGAGCTTACAACATAAGATCCTGTGATGTAAGAAGTCAGGGTAGAAAGAGGAAGAGGGGTTTGTTTGTTTTTTAGATTTTTGTTTTGGGGGCAGTAAACCTCATAACCTGGCCTGAGGGGACTTGCTGAGGTTATTAGTACTACCAGTTTTCTGCCTTACTAAATCATCCATATAAGGCATTTGAAATAATAACTCATTTTCATGTATTAAAGGACAGTAAATGTCTAAAAAGTCTCAAAAGCTTATTAAACTAGCTTCTTTTCCATCTAAGCTTACTGTTTAACTCAACGGGTGCATCTATACATGCAATTAACCTGATGCAGTAAACTCTGGTGCAGTTTGGAGTCCACTGCTACCAGGCACAGTGTTTACACGTGCTTCTGGGATTGCAGCAATTCAAGCCAGGGTGGAGCAGCCTCAGGCTGACAGGAGGCCTGAGGATAAGCCCCAGACTCCAGGTGATGGCATCAGGTGGTAGAGGGCCTGGCTGGGACACGAGGGTGCTATAGTGAGGGGCTAGCCAGCAGGCAGCCCCCACACTGTAGTGCCCTTGTGCCCCAGCCAGCCCCAATTACCATCTACATATGCGATGCAGCAGCATAAATTACTCCACCATAGGATAGTACTGTCTGGGACAGTACTATTTCACAGCAGAGTTAATTAATTTCCTGCACCCTAATATGGGCACGCATGTAGACTGACACTTTACTGTGGAGCTAATTAGCCAACTCCACAGTAAAGCACACATGTAGATGCACCCAGTCAGACTGATAAAAACTGCTAGTCTGACCCATTTTTATGTTCAGTTGTTGTTGAGGTGTTCAGCTGTACAATGTAACATGCTTTGAGCGGGTGAAGGAGTATCTTTGAATTAAATAACATATGGTTTGATTTATATTTAAATTTGGAGGGGAGGGGTGGAGATCAGGGGTTGAATAGGCAGATGTTATCTAATTCGTGAATCTCTGATTTGGTCAACTGACTAAGATCAACAAAAATGTGTGTTTCTCAAAATCAGCGCACCATATTTCACTTTTAAAAATGCAACTCAGAAGTGAACCTCGAACTTGAAGATTTCTTAGTGAAGGCTGTCAGTATAGGCTTCCTTTTCAAGTTCATTGCATTCCAGCTTGTCTATATGTACTACCTACTACTGCAGCAATATTGCAGTGAGAGAAGCAGTTTCTCAAATAGACAGCAGCAGCAATGTGTATGATCTATTCTCTGGACCCACTTATGACATGTCTACTATTTTCTTGTAAGGAAAGTCCATGGTTATATAATGTTAAAAATAAGTTTCTCTCTCCTGTACTTAAATTTGATATGATTTCTTGGATTGTGAGCTCTCTGAGCAGGGAATGCCAGGCACTCCTTCAGTGCCTAGTTCAATGAGATGACATTAACAGAGAGAGCCATTATCCCTAGTAGAGAATTTTGGATTTTTTGATTTAAAAACCCCCAAATCCTAATTTTTCAACAATTAAAATTGAACACCACTCATATATATGCAAACAGGTATTTAGGTGTGCATATAGGTATCAGTTGAACACAATGTTTTATTTGATATATTTATGATTTTAAAAATTTGGAAGCTTACCAGTGCCTCAATCATTATAATAAAATAACTTCTAAATACCTATATATGTTGGTGTTTGATTTTGGCTTTTTTATCATAGAAAATCGGAGCTCCCCCGCCCTCTTCGCCCAGCAGGACACAGGTCCAGCTGCAGCTGTCCCCACTGCTGCTTTGTGGCACTGAGCAGCCGTGATATGCCAGTGCCCTGCCCGTGATGTTGCTCCTCACTCCCAACCCACTACCCCCAGGCCTCAGTGGGTGGGACCCAGCGTGGGAGGGAGCAACACACTGCCATGGTCACCAAGGTGAGGTGCCCCCTGCCTGACTGGTGGGGGGGCACAACTCCATGCTGCCGCCAGGAGCTTCATATCAACTGTGCCACCATGGGTGCCAAGGTAAGGCGCCGCCTTGGCAGAGGTGTAGAGTTGTGCCCCCTCACTGCTGCCCAGTGGGTAGGGGCACCTCACCATGCAACAGTCATGGCAGTGTGGTGCTCCTTCTGGCACTGGGTCCCATTTGCTGGGTCTCAGAGGCAGCTCCTACCTGGTACTGGTCTGATCAGGTTGTGGCCCTGTGCCGCATTGCAGGTACAGAAATCTTGGGTGCCACCTATCTGTGATTGCCCTCCTCCTGCTCCTCCCAGCCTCAAGCAGCCCCTTGCAGCCTGAAACTCTGCCAGCCTGCAAGGGGAAACCTGAGGTTTCCTGGGTTTTTGTCCTTTTTAAGGGGAAAATCCATGATTTTATCCTTTATAGAAGAAAATCCACATTTTTTCCATGGGAAATGGAAAAACCCAGATCCCTAATCATTACTAATTGAGGACTCCCATCAAAGAAGATGAGTGACTGTAGTTTTACTTAAGGATTGTAATATTCAAGATGTATCTAGCTTAGGGTTACCATATGTCTGGGTTTTCCTGGACATGCCCTCTTTTTGGATCCTCCCATCTCCTTCCAGGCTTTTTTTAAAAATATGATCAAACATCCAGGATTTTAGTTATCTCAGCTCCAAAGTTTTTCCTGGCTTACCATAGCAAGGAGCTGCTTGGGGCTGGGGGGAGTGGGGGAGGGCAATTGGAGGCAGGGTGCACGCACACGGGGCCAGTATGCACCTGGCAGGGGGTTGAGAGCAGCCCCGCAGCTGCAGGCAGGGAAGTCAGGGGGGGGGGGGAGGGCCTGGGCTTGGGGACTGTTGCAGGGGGCAGTGCC